CCTGTTTATTATTATAAAGGAACACTAGGGGCTTATGGGAAGGGCCCCGCACAGCAGGGCCCTAGATAAATACGCTAAATAATCTTTACCGCTGAGCCTTCTGCAGAAAGTGTCATTAAAATCATTTATCACAAGATTCAATATCTGTAAAAATCTTATTTAAATAACATTTGTCTTTGCTTTAGAAATTGCATTTAAATCTAAAAAATGTTTCAGATAATAATTCTCAGCTCCCATTATTCTACATATTTTGTCGCTGCTTCAAAGTAGGAGATTAATTGAGTGTTTAAGTTCTTGTTTTACTGTTAGAATGTAACTGTCCTGTCTTTTATTAGCATTCTTCATTTTCATAATGTAATCACACTCTGTGGGGGAGAAGAATAAATAATGGCGCTTTTTCTAAATCTAACCAAGATCCGTTGGGTCATAGTTTTATCAGTATGTAATGTAAGTAGAAATATTAACATGAGGAGGCACAGTTAATGTGGCACGGTCTCTGTCATATATTGCAAAGACCGCTGACTGTGCCATTGTCGATGAAGGTCCGATAGCAGGGGTTGGGGACCTGGGGGGCAGGCAGAGGTGAGTATTACTAACCTGAACTTGTCCCTCGCGGGCGCTGCCATCTTCTCCATGCGAGTTCTTTTCAGCTTCTGGTGCATGCGCTAGAGTACAGTCCTGGGGTCAATGGAGGATCCCGTGAGACCGCAGGTTCCTCCATAGATAAAGCCAATTTCCTGCCGCCATCACTGGTAATGACTGGGAGAAATTACAAGATTAATGGCGGTAGTAGTGTCAAGCTTTGTCAGACAGAGAAAAAATACTGAGACAAAGTAGGTATATCTCTTGACTGGGTTGGAATTTCAGTGAAACATTCTTTTTTTATGAAATACTTATTTTGGAGAGGGAGGTGAAAACACCACTTTAAAGGACCACTCTAAGCACCCAGACCACTTCAGCTTAATGAAGTGGTCTGGGTGCCAGGTCCTTCTAGAGTTAACCCATTCTTTTATAAACATAGCAGTTTCAGAGAAACTGCTATGTTTATGAATGGGTTAAGCATTCCCCCAAAGCCTCTAGTGGCTGTCTCATTGACATCCGCTAGAGGCGCTTGCGTGATTCTCACTGTGAAAATCACAGTGAGAGCACGCAAGTGTCCATAGGAAAGCATTGATAATGCTTTCCTATGCGACCGGCTGAATGCGCACGCAGCTCTTGCTGCGCGTGCGCATTCAGCCAACGGGGAGGAGAGGAGGAGGATCGGAGGAGGAGAGCTCCCCGCCCAGCGCTGGAAAAAGGTACGTTTTTAACCCTTTCCCCCTTCCAGAGCTGGGCGGGAGGGTGTCCCCGAGGGTGGGGGCACCCTCAGGGCACTATAGTGCCAGGAAAATGAATGTTTTCCTGGCACTATAGTGGTCCTTTAAGTAGTACAATCACAAGTTTTCATCAATCAATGTTTCTCTGTCAAAGCACTTTTATTTTTGCTCTACAGATACACAAAATATGAATTTCAATTCATTTTTCAACCTGGAAAATATACTGTCAACACTGCAAAGCAAAGCTTGTACCATTAAAATAATAATGATTTATTCCTTCTGATAAGATCCTTCTGTCCTGTGTATTTTCTCCTGTTACAATGCGGTCTCATTCAAGTTGTGTGTTTATATAGAACAGGTTAATGTTAATGTCAAGGTTTCGAGCATAGGTCAGATATTCGGTAGGGAAACTGTAAAATCTATTAAGAACTGAAACTATTTTTGTTAAGCTGTAATTTCCCACTTTCCCGTATAATGTACCCACCAACCACACTTCTTGTATAATGTTTCTTAAAGGAGAGATAGGGCTTTCTTTTGATGTCCTACTTAACGAATGATTTATTATTAATAAAACTAAGAAGAATTAAAACAAAAAAACCCCCATGTATTCACAGTTATATTATCTATATTCCAGTTATAAAATCAGGAGAAGTGGGCGGGCCTTCCAGGAGGCGTTAGCAGTGATGGAACTTGTATCGCTGGTGACACATAGTGAGGTCGCTCGCTCTGGGAAGTGGGGAGTCAGCCTGTTTGCAAGGTGTTTTGAAGTTATTAAACCTTTACAGAAATTTGCCCTAATTTTGACACATTGCATTGTTAGGCCTGTGTCTTATGTTTGGGAAGTTGAGCAGTTGCCCAAATAATGACATATTCATCACACCCCAGACGAGTGCCCACAATACATTTTTTACTGTAGGGGCACTGCCTTCATGAGCGCAATGAAGACCCCTCTGACAGTGGGAAGTCTGTAACAAAGTTGATGCATAGAATGAATGTGTGTTATTTGTCACATAAAACAGTTAAAGAGATACTATATTGCTAGGAATACAAAGCTCTCAGCACCAATGTCCCTCTGTGCTGGGTCGACGCTCCACCCCCTCCGACATCTTGAGACAAGCAGGCTCTAATGTGCATGCACGAAATCTGACACTGGATGTCCTGATGCAGAATGTGAGAACGTCTAGCGTCAGATACTGGACCACAGGTCCTTTTCAGTACAGGAAGCCCTCTAGTTGATGTCTGGTAGACGGTAAACATTGCAGTCTTATATATTTTACATTGCAGCACTAAGTGCAAAAGGGACAGTGCACTCAGACCACTTCAATAAGCTTAAAGGACATACTCGTTTTCCTGCCACTATAATGCCCTGAGGGTGCCCCCACCCTCAGGGTCCCCCTCCCGCCCGGCTCTGGAAGGGGGAAAAGGGGTAAAACTTACCTTTTTCCAGCGCTGGGCGGGGAGCTCTCTGCCTCCGATCCTCCTCTGAAACTGCTATGTTTATTAAAAAAATGGGTTAACCCTAGAAGGACCTGGCACCCAGACCACTTCATTCAGCTGAAGTGGTCTGGGTGCCTAAAGTGGTCCTTTAAGTGGTCTGGGTGTCTACAGTATCCCTTTAAAGAATGTTCGTGAGGTCATTTTAGAATTTAAGAATGCGTCACTGAGCTAATGTCATGTACATCATTCTGGTTACAACTGCTTTCAATGAAAAACTCATAAAAGTCTGCTTTTTTCTAAATGTTCATGTTATTTCAATTTACTAATAAAATACATAAATAAATGAACCAGCAAACTAGTTGTAAATACTAATAATAACACCAATCTTCAAACACATTTTACGGCACATAATTCAGTGTTGCAGTTGCAGAAAAAAAAAAATCCCACTTGCAAATTAAGGCATCACATTGACGTAAAGAATTATTATGTGGGAAATATATCCTGTTAGCAAAGTGCAATTTTATAACCTGCAAAACATATATTTTCTTTTGTACTATAAAATAAATGCATGTGTGATATCAGGAGCAAATTTAAGTGAGTAATATTTTATTTTAGAAAACAGTTACCCAGAAGACTACATTGAGGTTTTTTGTTTTTTCCAAATATATCCCGAAGAGCATGTCCGAATTGGTGCGATACAATGTATAACATGGAACACAGACAAAACAATTACACATTAACAATATTCACAGCCGCTTAAAGTTATGAGTTACAAAGGTTTCCTAATAATGACCAAAAAATAGTAGAATTCCTTATGCTGTAGAGATTCTGCAAAAACATTTTTGTTGCTATCACTCAGAACTTAAAGGGACACTGTAGGCACCCAGGCCCCTTCAGCTCATTGAATTGGTCCGGGTGCAATGTCCCATGTCCCTTAATCCTACAGTGGTAATCATTGCAGTTTCTTAGAAACTGCAATAATTACCTGCTAGGGTTAACTCCTCCTCTAGTGGCTGTCTGACTTCCGGATGCTTAGACGAATTTTGGTTGCCTAAATGACGCTGGATGTTCTCACGCTATGCATGAGGGCTTCCAGTGTGACCAGAATCCTCATAGGAAAGCATTGACTAATGCTTTCCTATGGGGAAATACTAATGCGAGTGCGGTGGGCGGAGGGCGTCTGCGGGGGGAGCTCTAACCCCTTCAGCACCACAATAGGGGGGCACGAGGGAGGGGAGCATTGTAGGAACCAATAGTGTCAGGAAAATGGCTTTGTTATAACATAATAGTAACTAATAATAATAGCTAATTGTAACAGTTACGCTAAACCCAACTCTAACATTTACTTCCTACACCTAACCATGATCTTTTATCCTACATTGACTCCTATTCTAAAGCCTTTCCAGTTATCCTAATAAAAATAATAACCTCTAACCATAACCACTAACACAATGTTTAGCCCTGACCCAAAACCCTAATCCAAAACCTCCAATTCTCCATCTATCATGTATAAGTATGTTTGGCAGTGTGGACAGTAGACGGTAGCCGATGGAGCATTGAAACTAAGTGGAACGGGCCTTTACATAGCTAGGAGGCAGGCATACAAGGGGTCTCTTTTAGATGCATCAGATCGTGTGATCCACCTATTGTATGTATTGTGTTTTTATATTCTTTAGAGTCGTATAAAGGGTTCCCACTCAGGTGGTTTGTAGCATTTCTTGCTACCACACTCATCCCATCCACTGTATATATTACTCACTAAATTATAAATTTAAAATATACTGCTCAGGGTGGTTCATATTAACTGTTCCAGCGCCTATTTAGGCTCCTTATCAGATATACACTTTAACAATTGATCCCAGATATAAATCATAAAAGGTGATCCCAATATTCTAATACATTGCTTAAATACTAGCCCACATCCACTGTTTCAATGCTTCATTTAGATCTATCATTAGATCGAGACCACAAATAGCGATCTCAGGGTCAATAGAAAATTCCCCGAGTGGAACGCACGCGTCATATGACATGCATTCCAGTGACGTCAGCCATGTGCCCGAATCGGCACAGGTGACACAGACTGGAAATAAAGCACATGGCGCATAATGAGTTCCAATGTGCGACAGCCGTTGCACTATATTATTTTATTAAGGGGTTAAGGTTTACGTGGGTTGACAGGTTAAGGGGGCAGGGCCTATATGAGTATAAATAACGGACATTTTGTGCAGGAGCCATTTTAACTAATCCTGACTTACTTGTTGTTGTGTGCAGCAAGTTTGTTTGGTGTCTCTTCTTTTCTTTTTCAGATGGATCCCACTATGGAGTCTCTGATTGAGAGGGTCAGGTCTGCTGGGCAGGAGAGAGGGAAGTCTTGGCTGCAGGAATGCCTGGGAGCTGCTGTTCCAGTACCAGGGCCTTCAGGAGGTCCGGAGCGCCAGCCCACGAGGCGGACTATTCCGCCCCAACGCTTGAACCCCAGTTCCATTCCTTGGCGCAGGAGGAGGAGAAGACAGTCTAGAGCAAAGGCAGCCGGGGTGGAGAGGTCCTGTTCCAATGATCGGAGGAGACCAGCTAGCACAGCTGCACAGCATCTCAGTGCTCAGGGGGCTGGCGCGGCCACCAACGGTTCCGGGGTGACGCTGCCCTAGTATGGCGGATGGCAGGACTGGTGATGCGGCACCCACAGCGGACTCCAGGGAGCAGAGGAGTGCTGCCAGGCCTGGACTTTCGGCGGAGGGAAGCACTTCAGTGCCCGGTGAGTCAGCCTCCAGTGCGTTGGGACGGCACAAACAGGGGGGCTCTGGGCTCTGGGAGGGTCCCACTTCTCTTAACTTGGGTTGCCCAGCAGTGGTAGGTATCCTCCTCTTACCCGCTGGTCAGCATGTTAGGAGGTCACCACAGGAGCAGCACGGCTTGGGAAGAGAAAGAGAAGTGAAAAGAATCAGTTGGTGGGAGTCTGTGCGGTTCAGGTCGTATGTTAGGCTGGACCGTTTGGTTTAAAAGGGGACGGTAGGTTCCTCTTTTTTGTATTTGGTAATATGTACTTTTTTCTTTTTGTAAGTTGGGTCGCCTGGTTGGTGGGCCACTCACACATCCGTTGGGCATGCCAGAGAGCTGTAGTTCGGCAACAAGGAAGACAGCTGGGCTTTCCACGGCACCTGGTTCAATTATGTTGGTTTGGTTATATAGATTTCATTTGAAGGGAAGTTTGTGGTGAGATTTTTAGGAGGTTGAGTTCGGGGCAATCACCTGACTTGTTATTGATCCACGCAGGGGGAAATGATTTAGGGCAGGTGCCACAGAGGTAGCTGGTACAAATTATAAAGCGGGATGTGGAAAGATTGCGGTGTCTGGTACCGGGCTTTACTATTATTTGGTCAGAGGTGGTGCCTAGGTTACATGCCATGGATCCGGGGGCAGTAGCCAGAATGAGGGGTAAGGTTAATATACTGGTGGCAATTTTTAAAAGGCGTACTGGAGTTGTGGTAGTTTGGCATGTGGACTTGGAATCGATGATTCCGGGTTATTACAGGCGGGATGGGGTGCACCTCTCCAACGCTGGTAACGATTTCCTCAACATGGGTTGGCTTACAGCAAGCATTGTTTATGCGTGGGTGGGTGGGGTGCTCAAATAGCTTGAGGCTTCAAGCTCTGAGCCGTGGCGAGGAATTTAGACATATTGGGGGTAGGTAGGAATAGTAGCTGGAAGCTTGGAAGTTCTGTACCAATATTAACTTAGTTGGATTTGGTATTTGATAGGTAAGAGCCTGTCGATGGCTCTCAACCTGGTGGTGTAGGAGTGTCTCGGTATTCCCCTACAATGTTAAAACAGTTATATTACGTTGCCTGTTGTGGCTGTGTGTGTTGTATTATGCATTTTAATACTGTTATTGATTATGGATGTTCCAAATCATGACTTTCCCACCAGAATATACTGAGCTCTTGGCAAGAATACATTATCTCAATAACCACAATGTGGCCCATGAAGATTCTAGGTAGCAAAAGGCAGACAGCTTAATAGAACTAGCTGCACTCTTACAATAATTATCATTAAGACCTGATTAAGGATTTGAGAAATCATTGACCTGTTCCCAGCAACGTGCATTTTTTTGGTTCCCACGGGAATCGTCCACTGTGTAATAATCTAGCGCTCCTCATTGTATAAGATACTTGACATACAAATGTTACAATAATGGATGCAGAGCGATTATCAAATGTTGTCTCAGACAGCACAATCCCACTGACAAAATTGCTGCAATTTTATTACAACTCACAGGTTTTACGTCAAATCATACAACAATTTCTGAGGACAAATTTCCAGCAATTAAAACAATGTATTTGTCAAACAGTAATAATGTATTTAAATAGTGTTAAAATGGATCTGTCACCCTCAGACCACAGGGTTCCTTCAAATATTAAAAACTCAGTTAATGTTCTGTGCATCACCAAAATGAATCTTTTATTTTTATGTTGAAGCAATGATTTCTTTTCTACTCATAGTCAAGTCTCCAAACACCAATATGGATTTGTTTAAGACACTTCACCATTACGTACATTATATTTCACATTTTTGTTTAACCCCTTAGTGACCAGACCATTTTTACATTTTCTTACCTCTAAGGACTAGGGCTGTTTTTACATTTCGGCAGTGTTTGTGTTTAAAAAATAAATAATAATTGGGGATTTTTTTGACACACATAGCAATTTAAGAATACCTGTACTGAGTACTTTAAGGGTTACTGCCCAATATGAACACCCCAATATGATTTCAGCATCATCTCCTGGGTACAGTGATACCCCCCATGTATAGGTGTGTCGGGTTCTCTGGGAGCTAAAAGACCTTATTTGGAGGGTGCGCATTCCAGTTTTCCAACTTGGAATTTTCACAGCTGGTCATCATGCACCCATGTACTATTTGGGACATTGTTAAAGCCAGCCAATATAATTTACCCCCATCAAATAATTTTTTTTGTGAAAAGTAGACACCCTAGGGTATTTCAAATGGTATTTTAACACTTTCCATGCACTAATTCTACCACCAGTCTTTGTCAAACTTTTGGGTAGTCATTTGTTTGTGTTATTTTTCTCTCACATTGTACTTTAGGCATGGATTCTCAGTTCCTGTTATGTGTTACTGACAAAGAACACCCCATAATTTGTTCAGCAACATCTCCCGAGTACAAAATTGCCCCCAATGTACAGGTTTTATGGGTTTTTGCAAACTTACAGGGATCAAATGTAGGGCTTTCCCCTTTTCCATGTTTGCACATTGAAATTTGCCAGATTGGTTTGCTGGGCCTATGTTGCCTTTGAGACCGTATAAGCCCAGGATTAAAAATGAACCCCATCATGGCATACCATTTGTAAAAGTAGACATCCCAGAGTATTCAGAATGGGGTATGTCCAGTCTTTTTTAGTAGCAACTTAGTCACTAACTCTGGCCAAAATTAGCATTTATATTTGTTTTTTTGCATTTGTCACACACAGACTGCCATTTCAGAAATGAAATTGTCAGTATAATACATTTTACTGCTCTAAAACACTCGTATTTGTGTAGAGTAATGTCTCACGGGTACAACAGTACCCCTCAAGTACAGGTTTTATGGTGATTTGGAAAGTTACAGGGTCAAACATAAGATTTGCCAATTTCAGTTTTTGTAAATTGCTATTTGCCAGATTGGCTATGTTGCCTTTGAGAAGGTATGGCAGCCTAGAAATGAAAATGAACCCCATCATGACAAGTTAGCTTAATAAATAGATTGGATGGAGGTATGTATGGACGAATGGATAGATAGACGGAGATAGAGAGTAAAGACTTTAGCAATTAATTTTTCGGCCAACTGTTTAGTGAGTCGAATTCTGAAGTTGAAATTCTTTTATTTCAAGTACATGCTGTGTTGTAACTCTCCCTACTCTCCACATAGCATACACAACATATTGTGGCTTAATAAGCATTTTACCGATCCTGTCCATTTTTCCTTTGAGTCTGCAATTATCTGAGAAATAAAAAAAACATATTTCTTAAACGAAATCACAGCCACACACTGACCTCTTGTAGGAAATGTTACTCGGGATAATTTCTCTGGTCTGATGAAAACTAGCTGTTTGCCAGTATGCATCATAATTTCTCATCAATTTCTTGTTTTAAATGTAGCAACGAATTATGATTTAATATGGAGAACTCAATTCATAAAGGGAATTCGGGAGCAAAGTCAAATAATTCACTCTCAAGCCAACAACGTTTAAACAATTCCCAAGTGAGCAACTTCTGAGGATTCTGGGAACATTCTGTGTTTTGTTTTTTTATAAAAGATATCTCTTATAGTATTGTGGAAGATACATGCACTGGAGGTGGTCCATATTCAACATCATTGCATTTTGTTTGTGAAATTACAATTAATCTGCAAGCTGCTTTTGAAAGTTAATATGGTAAAGTAAGCACCTTTGATGCTCAAGGCAAAACAAAGATGATTAAAATTTAATTGTCAGGGGTAATGTAAAATGTCGACGCCCTATTCACCCAATATTAATAATAATGATAATTCATCAATAGTTCGCACAAATGACTTGGAGAAGGTTTAAAAACATTTACTCCAAATGAGTTAATGATTCTGGGCTTTTATTCCTTATTCTGCATATATATACACACAGGGTGGGCCAAAATTGAGAGTAGAGTTTGAGGAGTCAATAACTTTTTTTTATTAATGAACCAATTCCAGTGATATTACATACTTACATACAATGAATGCTTAATGTGTGGAGATTTGTTTGACTTGGTACGGAACAGGACATCTTTTAAATGAGCTCCATTTGCTGCCTCGCATAGTCCATTGCATTATTCATAACATTAGTTAATGTTTGAGGCTCTAGCGATCGCATTTCTGCACAGATATTCTCCTTGAGCTGCTTAAGTGTATGCGGTTTGTTTACGTACACCACCTCCTTCAGATGTCCCCATAAGAAGTAATCTGGACCTGAAATGTAGGGCACATGTGGTGGCCAATTACTCTGAGCAGGCCCTGACTGGCCATCTGGCAACCCCGGCAAATTGCCCAATGGGCTGCGATGGCCATGGACTGAGGCCAAAGGGCAGATCAGAGCATCTCCCTTGCTGGTCCATGCCTGAAATCAAAGATCTCCCTCACCCCTCCGCTGGCACCTTACTATGGCTGCCAAGATAAGGGAGAGGAGACCTGGAGGAACTCTAACCTGCAGCCGGGTTCCTTTCGTGAGCTCAGAGAGTTGTTGCGGTTACCATTGCAACACTCCGATCACGCAAGAATAAACTCTAGCCGGCGAAGCTGCTCGGCAAAAGTTTGTTTATTTTTTTCTAAAGTTTTAATTGTCACATGGGATCCCTAACAATGTACACACGCATTACCTAATAAGAATGATGGTGAATTGGTGAACATTACTAAAGCTTCAAATAATTCTGTCCATTGACACTTTTCCTACCCCCCTAATATCTTGGTTTACCACATTTTTCTGCTTGTTATGGTTATTGATTGAATATTTTTAGGTAAACTTTTAAAATGTTTAAGTCAATTTAATATTAAGTCTTTTGAAAAGTTTATCCAAAAATATAAAATCAAGGCCTAAGTTTGTTATTTTTTAATTACATTACTAAAAGTCTACAGGAAAGGAGAATTAGCTTTGACTTTGCCTTCTCGGTTCTCTCCGGTGTCATTACATGTTAATAGGACTGAGACCTGAATAACCTTACATGGTATATTTGTGTTCTTTCAACTAATACATTTCATTAGGGCTCTGCTGAAAAGCACACTCAATTCTATGCCTGAAAAAAATTTATGTTGTTAATAAATAAATTATAAATAAAATATAGAAACGCTTTTGGTAACATGAAGAGCTGAATCTGTCCACGTGGGACATGATAGCAGAACAAATTATACTTACTTTATTAGTCAAAAAGATCAATTAGTAATGTTCTCTTCATTATTGGACCAAATAATTAATCTATTGGGGAATGTGCAGAAGCAGTTCTCAACGTAGCGTTGAATTTCTAATATAAATACTGACATATCTCTATCGTGGCTATTAATATTGTGCAAAATCAGCTATGTTACAGTAGATCTGCAGCTTCTGATATTATTGTTCTATTAAATGTATCTAAATGAACTTGTAGGGTTATTCAATAAAGTGCATGTGGTGGAGAACTCACAAAGGAGTTGCCCAATTTAGGCAAAAATAGACATTTTACATAGAAACACAGATTGTGACGGCAGAGAAGAACCATTCGGCTAGCTACATTTTTTTTATGTAGAAAGAAAGAGGAGGGGTGAAGGGCTGCGCTAGATACAGGTAAATAAAATATAAATAAATATACAAGCTCTTAGTTGTAAGGCACTTAGCGGTATAATCCCCGCTAATGGATATTCTGTGATAGGTCACTCCGTCCAGCTTGGGTTTCGTAGGATTTCGCACGGTATATAAAAACAAATATAGTGCTCTCAGTAGGAAGGGAAAGCATAAAATAAAATAAAATAAGTTATACTCACAATGGTAGAGCAGGGAGTACTGCTCTATTTATAATGCGCTGGTGGAATAATCCCCACCTGTGGATTGCTTTAAGCAGGAACAGTTAGATGCCAGGAGAAAAATAAAAAATGTGTTTATACAATAAAACAAAAATGGTCCTATAAATAAGGGTACCAAATAAAAGTTTTTATTGTTAAAATACACAGTAAAAAACCATTTGACGCGTTTCACCTCATGGGCTTTATCAAAAATGGCTAAAGAACAATAACCTGGCATTAAACAGTTTTTATAGCTCTATGCAAAAGATTGAAATTGGCGCCTAAAACAGTGCACCAATTACAAGCAAGGAGTAACATAAACTTTTTTGTGATTACAAACTGACACAAAAATTGGTTTACATATAAACCGCTAAGTGCCTTACAACTAAGAGCTGGTCCTAAGCTCCAACAAATGTGAGTGTATTATCCTCCATTTTATTTAATTTCGCTAATCCTCTCAGTACATACTATACCATTGGAAGTTTGTTTATGTTCTTATCTTTCATATACATAAAAATATAAAAAAATAAGTCAATGTATCAAAAATATTACAAAATATAAATATGTTTCATGATATCATATCATTTCAAATGTTTATAAAAATATGAAATCGTTTGAAAAGCTTATTTAAGAATAATAAATTAAGGCCTTGGTTAGGGGATGGAGTGGTATGTAAATGATTGGGAAAAATGTGCATATGTCTGTGTGTATACTATGCTTAATGACAGAATAGGTACAAAATACCGATTAAGGAACAGCCACCCCCTCCTCCCTCCCTCCTCCCAAAAATACAGTTTTTAATTGTAATGCTTTCCTGTGGTCACCTTCAAAGGAGCACCTATACTGGAGGGATGAGGAGCACAGCTCAATATGAATCTATTCTGGATACAAAATCTACACAGGAAAAAGGGGTAATTGTGTGCACACCTTGAGCATGCATGTCTAAGTAGTGGTGCTGCTGTAAAAAACTAAATATATACAAAATACAGCGCTCAAAAAAAAAAAGTTTTATATTGTATATGGCTATATAATATCACCTATCATGGCCAAACATATGGGGATTCAGTTATTATGTATTACAACCACTAGAGGCTGTCTTAGTGCTGCAATGTACATTGCAGTTTCTCAAAAACTGCAATTATTTACATTGCAGGACTAAGGGCAACAGTGACATTGCACCCAGACCACTTCTATGAGCTGAAGTGGTCTAGGTGCCAAAAGTGTCCCTTTTCCGTGTTACATGTATGGTAAAGTGTTGGGGTGAAAAATTCTATGTTATAAATCTGCTTCTTATTCAACAATGTTTAAGCAGGAAATATCAAAGATTATTTTTAAAAGTCACAGATGTAGCTATTATGATTACAGTTAGAGTGCCAACATATGCTGCAACGATGGTTAAACAAGACAGAGAATTCTAACAAAACACGTTTGACATATGGGAAGACAGCCTTGTCCAAAGGAGCTTACAATCTAAAAGCTAAGTTAGTCTTTACATCTTTTATTAAATAACTAACAGCGTTCTTTACTGAAAGGTGAATGGTGGGGAATTTAAGGTAAATTTAAAATTTCAGGCCAAAATAGAATTGAAATAAGTCTCCCAGTAAGACATTCTTTCAGTTTCCTCATTTTAGCTTAACATTTAGTTTGAATTACTGACAATACACACATTAGTTAATAACCCTGATATTGTGTGCGAGAGATTGTTCTTTTTTTTTTCTAACATTGTAGACAGAAAAAATCCCGCCATGGTCAGAACCATTGATTCCTGGCAATTTGTTTTATTATATGTATTTACTGTTTTACTTTCCTCAAATTAAGTCCATTTGACCTTTGCTAATAGCACTATACAATATAAATTACATTTCCCAGCCGTGAAAATTATAAAACGTGTGATATAAGATATGAATAGTTTTTCCCCAAAGTGTTTTTCGCTAAAATCAAACCGATCACTTGAAACGCAATCACCCAGGAATGTCAAAGAAAAGAACGTGCCTTAATGGGTCCTGTATGACATTTATTTTTAGTGATTCAATTTTCCAATCTTTAGCCTCTTTATTTAAACCAAATAAGATGTTTAATATAGATTGCTGTCAAAGATAACATTCCCACACCAGGAATAGTTTAAGTGGCCAGGAACGTACATGCCAGAAAATGAGTCACTGTGGGAGCGATAGGATCTTACGGTCAGTTCTATAAACTTCCCGAGACTTTACACAACAACGTTATATATTGCTGGACAAGACAAACCACAGGAAATACAAACAATCTGCCACTGTGGTGATCTTGTCACTTCAGATGATTGTGAAATACATTTAGTAAGACTTTTAGTCTGCCTCTATACTCTCTGAGCATCATGGGGATTGTAGTTGTCATACATCCGAGATGCCAGGTTTAACTGAAATGTTGAGTTAGTAGACATCATTGTTGAGTTAATGCCTTTGGTAAAAATAGTGTGTGTAGAAGACTAGATGCAGAAGATGGACTACCCAGAGGAAGGACAATGCTATGCCAGGACCTGGAATTATTGCTTGAATTATTGGTTAATCCCTTATTGGTATCAAAGGGTTCGTCCAGGACGGATCAGTGGGAGATGAAAGAACAATTCGTGTTAACAATGAATGGAGGGATGGATATCACTGACCTTGGATGGTGGCATTGACTGGATCCAGTGTCGAGCTAACACTCCTTTCTCACTGTTTTAATGTATTAGCTATATAATATATTAAAAAATAGGCTGTAAATTTTACCCCATAGATTCTCTTTAAGTAATTAAATAATTTAACATTGCATGTAGTTGTAAATAAAACCAATCATCTGCATTTGCAGATGAAAATATAAGAATTCTGGGAATGATCCTAATTAGGAATGGGTGGGACTTTTTCCCCAAAATTAGCTGAGTTGGCAAACAGTTCAATATATATTTTTGATTCTGTTTAAAAACTTGCATTTCCCTCGTTAGCGTTCCTCAATTCACAGTCTATTTAATAAACCCCATTGGCTCCACACGTTCTGCGCATACAAGTGGATTTGTTGACAGAATCATATTCTGCTGTCAGAGTGATTTCCTGTAAATGCTGAAATTCATGAAATAAAGAAATCGCCATCTGCTGCTTTGCAGTTCTGTTAAGAAATGTTATCTTACATGAGCTGAGCTGTCACCTGACCTGGTCTTATATCACATTTAACCTTTTCATTGCCAAAATCATGTATCACAAATATGGGCCAGCACTGCTCAGTACTTCTGGAGCTCTCTGCGCTGGGCCCAATACCTCAATCTCTCTCTGCACTGTGTGAATAATGCACCCGTGCTGCACTGATCGGGGGCATTATATGAAGTTTCCAAATGGTGGAACACAGGGGCGTTGCTAGGTTCCAGAAGCTCGGGGGGCTTAAACCCAAAAGACGTCTCAATGGCTCCTACACTGACAGACAGTATCGATGTCATGACACATCCCTGCTCTCCAGGTTAGCCCCCTACTGTCTACTCATCCCATGGACTGCGTGCTGCTGGTGTGCTCCAGGATCTCAAAGAAAACGTAGCTTTGACAAAGTGCATGCTGGACAGCCAGGTAATCAATGTGATCCTGTGATGCTATATGATTAGTAGATGCTCTGTCCTCAACACCTAGCAGAGCACTATAGTAATAATGTTTCTTTTTATAATGGGTGACTGCATTAAGAAGCAGCTGCCTGATTTAAAATGGAAAAAAGAAAGAAAAATCTATCAACCAACTACGGACATCTGTGGCTTCAGCAAGGTCAGCAAAACCATAAGGCGGCACAGGCGGCCACCTTAGGGAGCACTGGGGTGTGCAAGGTACAGGTGACCAGCAGGAGTTGAGTGGACAGCACAGCGCTCCCCTCCTGTCAGTTAATTCATGTAGCGTCGATGTGGGGACCACAATACAGAATATTCTGTATCCTCTACCTGATCTGGCAGGAAGTGCTCACCGAGAGCAACTAACAGCTTCCTGTCAGACCGGGTAGAGGCTATAGAAGACCCTGTACTGCGGTCCCCACATCCACACTACATGGAGGGAATTAAGGAGGTACACATGAAGGGGAGTGGGGGAAAGAGTCATCAAAGGGAGGGGGGAGTGAAAAAGACACACAGAGGGGCTGTGGGAAAGACACAAGGTACTGGGGGAAGAGACACACATGAATGGGGAAGGGGAAAGAGAGACAGACAAAGGCACTGGTGGAGAGAAAGAGACCCACAAAAGGAGCTTGGGAAAGGGAAAAAACATGCAGATGGGCTGGGCAAAGGGAAAAGAGACACACAAAAGGAGCTAGGGGTTAGAGACACATGGAGAAGGGGGAAAGAGACAGACAGAGAGGCTGGTGAAGGGGAAAAAGAGAGACACAGAGAGGTTGGAGAAGGGGAGGGAGACAAGGGGCCTGGGGAGAGTAAGAGACACACAAGTTGGTTGTAAGTTGCAGAGAGACACACAGGTGAAGATGCATTTTTTTGGGGGGAAGGTGGGGAGGGTGCGTCTGAATGCATCTTCGCCTGTGTAGCCAATAATCATTGCACCGGCCCTGGGCTTCAGCCTCCAATGCCACCAACTAATAATGCCTTTGTTGGAACACAAGCTATCAAATCATATCTACCTCTGTCTCTGAATGAAGCTTACTCTCTCTGTCTATGTCTGTCTGACTGATCTATCTATTTATCTATTTATCAAACTATCTGTTTATCTATCTATCTATCTATCTATCTATCTATCTGTTTATCTAACTATCTATTTATCTATCTATCCAGATCTATTAACTAGAACATAAAAAACATTTATCTTTAGGTATCTCACTACCTCTCCCTAATCCATGAACATACGTATACAGAGAAGTAAAAGCCACATGTGGAGGGTATACAAACTGGTCAGCATGGCCCCTTCCTGTAAATTCTGCCTCTGCAATTTTAGCAATGGCTGACTGCATGGCCCTATAGAGAGGTCACACAGTTAGCCCTTTTCACTAGCAGGCCTTGCCTTCAGCGGAAAATAATTACAATCTAATGTGAATTTATCAAAAAGTCTGCAGCAGAGAAGTCATTTATTGTTTTATTTTCCATAATGCTGCATTGACAGAACAACACATTCCTACCGCCTAGAGGTATGTGTCGGCTCCGTAAAAGGCTTTTTGTGATTTTATATGCAGGAGAGAGAATAAAAATAATCAAATCTAGAAATTATTTTATTAAGGACCCAGTAGCATCTTACATGTGTAACACGTTAAATCCACTGCCTGAGCCCTATAACTGTCATCTACAAACTCTGCCGACAACTCTAATGTAACACCTTCAGGTTCCAGAATTGTTACAATTTTTTATCAAATCAACTTATTTAATAACTAGATTGTGTAATTGTCCACACAAAAACATGGATTCCAATGTTGACATTAAAGGGGCACTATACAGGGAGTGCAGAATTATTAGGCAAGTTGTATTTTTGAGGATTAATTTTATTATTGAACAACAACCATGTTCTCAATGAACCCAAAAAACTCATTAATATCAAAGCTGAATATTTTTGGAAGTAGTTTTTAGTTTGTTTTTAGTTTTAGCTATGTTAGGGGGATATCTGTGTGTGCAGGTGACTATTACTGTGCATAATTATTAGGCAACTTAACAAAAAACAAATATATACCCATTTCAATTATTTATTATTACCAGTGAAACCAATATAACATCTCAACATTCACAAATATACATTTCTGACATTCAAAAACAAAACAAAAACAAATCAGTGACCAATATAGCCACCTTTCTTTGCAAGGACACTCAAAAGCCTGCCATCCATGGATTCTGTCAGTGTTTTGATCTGTTCACCATCAACATTGCGTGCAGCAGCAACCACAGCCTCCCAGACACTGTTCAGAGAGGTGTACTGTTTTCCCTCCTTGTAAATCTCACATTTGATGATGGACCACAGGTTCTCAATGGGGTTCAGATCAGGTGAACAAGGAGGCCATGTCATTAGATTTTCTTCTTTTATACCCTTTCTTGCCAGCCACGCTGTGGAGTACTTGGACGCGTGTGATGGAGCATTGTCCTGCATGAAAATCATGTTTTTCTTGAAGGATGCAGACTTCTTCCTGTACCACTGCTTGAAGAAGGTGTCTTCCAGGAACTGGCAGTAGGACTGGGAGTTGAGCTTGACTCCATCCTCAACCCGAAAAGGCCCCACAAGCTCATCTTTGATGATACCAGCCCAAACCAGTACTCCACCTCCACCTTGCTGGCGTCTGAGTCGGACTGGAGCTCTCTGCCCTTTACCAATCCAGCCACGGGCCCATCCATCTGGCCCATCAAGACTCACTCTCATTTCATCAGTCCATAAAACCTTAGAAAAATCAGTCTTGAGATATTTCTTGGCCCAGTCTTGACGTTTCAGCTTGTGTGTCTTGTTCAGTGGTGGTCGTCTTTCAGCCTTTCTTACCTTGGCCATGTCTCTGAGTATTGCACACCTTGTGCTTTTGGGCACTCCAGTGATGTTGCAGCTCTGAAATATGGCCAAACTGGTGGCAAGTGGCATCGTGGCAGCTGCACGCTTGACTTTTCTCAGTTCATGGGCAGTTATTTTGCGCCTTGGTTTTTCCACACGCTTCTTGCGACCCTGTTGACTATTTTGAATGAAACGCTTGATTGTTCGATGATCACGCTTCAGAAGCTTTGCAATTTTAAGAGTGCTGCATCCCTCTGCAAGATATCTCACTATTTTTGACTTTTCTGAGCCTGTCAAGTCCTTCTTTTGACCCATTTTGCCAAAGGAAAGGAAGTTGCCTAATAATTATGCACACCTGATATAGGGTGTTGATGTCATTAGACCACACCCCTTCTCATTACAGAGATGCACATCACCTAATATGCTTAATTGGTAGTAGGCTTTTGAGCCTATACAGCTTGGAGTAAGACAACATGCATAAAGAGGATGATGTGGTCAAAATACTCATTTGCCTAATAATTCTGCACTCCCTGTAGTTCCTTCCTCAGTGAAGTGGCCTGGATGTAGTGGCACTGTCCTTTTAACCCTGCAATGTGAAACACTGCATTCATTTTAGAAATACAATGCTTTTTTGAATACAATACTTTACTATGGAGAAGCATAAATGCATGTTCTGCTTTCTGCGCATGAGCGTCAAGTCCCCAATGCTCCCCTGTGACCTCATGGAGGAGGCCATGCCCCCTCAATTATGTCATAGGAGGTAGAGAGGTGAGAAGTTCTGAGGAAGTCTCGGCACTGGAAAAAGGTCAATATTTTCAAGGCAAACCACGGGGTAAAGAGCATTAAAGTTAAAAGGGGTAGTTAGTTAACGAGGCCCCAAGCACCATTCATTGCCCAGAAGCTTCATTCTGAGGGATATACGACACTGATGGTCATGGCAATATGGAAGCATAGCTGACTTGGAGAATGACCTCAACTCGGCTATTTTGGACATACATTTGAAATTCACGTTGAATTCATGACAATTCTAACTTCAGGGAATATCCTTGATAGTATCACTATGGGGAAGGAGGTTATTTTAACAGTACACAGATACATTGACCAGGTATTCAGAAGCTCCAATTATTCACAGTGCTCTGTCTGTCGCAAAATGGAAGGGACGCAGCCCGCCTTATAGTCTGGGTAATTTGCCTCTGCCTAATACATTGTACTAGCTGGTAAATGTGTCGATATACAGTTAGGGGGGGGGGAGTATTTGATCCCCTGCTGATACTGAATGTTTGTCCACTGACAAATAAATGATCAGTCTATAATTTTAATGGTAGGTGTGTTTTAACAGTGAGAGACAGACTAATACAAGTAAATCCAGAAAAATGCATGTCAAAAAGTTCTAAATTGATTTGCATGTCAATGAGTGAAATAAGTATTTGACCCCTTCAACTCAGCACTTAGTGGCAAAACCCTTGTTGGCAATCACAAAGGTCAGATGTTTCTCGTTGTTGGCCACCATGTGGGTTCTAGTGTGTCTTTGGATACAGGGGGCCCCTGGAAGGTGGAAGCTGTATTCTTTATGATGGAACATTGGAGGATGAGAACTGTACTGGGAATTGGAGCAGGTTTTTATTGGTAACGGGGAACCCTACTGGATGGGGAAAAGCACTGGCATGAGAGTCTATCCCTGAAGGAGTGTGCAAATTATATTCTGCATGAGGAAACTGTATTGTGTGTAGATGTGAACTGTGCTTTAACTGTAATATTAGAATTTATATTGTGCTCTTTATGTGCTACATATTTATATGGATGATCCTAAAATCTAAACGTGTTCCTGAACTTATCTCTTAGAAAATCTGCAATGAAACTGTAAATAAATATAAAAGATATAAAAAGTAGATTGAAATGGGAACCATATCATACAATCAATACCTTTACTTATAATTAAAAATTGGGAGGAAAGAAGAAAACATAGCATAATATAAAGTAACCTAATATCTGTACAAGGAAATATTAAAGACCATTTATTCTTTTATGACTCTATTGTTCCCGTTAAGCTGTTCCTGGTAGAACTGCAGATTTTTTTATGTTCTTAATAATACAACAGAATCCTGTCCACTGATCTGAGAAATTGCTTTTCATTTTATTCCGAGGCTGAAACAATGATTCATGGGGGGGGGGGGGTTATTTTTCTGGAAACCATCAAAAAAACTAATATCGTCTTTATCCTTTGCTTATATTGAAGCTGGCTGCTCAGTTGGCTTGCATGGCACACAGAAAATATTGTTATTTTAGCACGCATTCAATGACTATTAACACTGGCAGGCGAGTCTCTTAAAGGGACACTATAGGCACCAGAACAAATACAGCTCATTGTAGTTGTTCTGGTGAGTATAATCAGGCTACTTTGGGCTTTTTGCAGAGAACACTATCCTTTCAGAGAAAATGCCGTGTTTATATTACAGCCTAGGGACACCTCCATTGGCCACCCCTCAGATGGCTCTGCATGGAGACTCTAAACTCTATGAAGAGATGCTGATTGGCCCTGCCTCCTTTGCGATCTCAGCCAATCCCATGATTTCCCTATGGGAGATCATCAATTCTGATGATGTCAGCTAAAGAGGTGGATCAGGAGCAGGGCAAATGCCAGGGGATCCCTGCGGCTCAGGAATAAATGTAAGTTTTAACCTTTTCTGGGGGGGGAGCAGGACAACCTAAATAGTGGGGTTTAACACTAAAGGGTCAGGAATACATGTTTGTGTTCCAGACCCTATAGTGTTCTTTTTTTAAAGTTTGAGTTTGTGCCTCCCAACATTTGGACACACACACTAGCCAGTCAGGGCTTCCTATTCTCAGTTCACTATAGAAGCACTCACCCAAACGTAGACTTGGAGATATGATTATTTACAAACGGCAATCTGTCCAAATTTGGGCCAGTCAGGTAATTGTTCAAATTCCCAAACTTTGAACTGAAATGTGGCTGAATCACGAACAAAACCAAACACACAATGGACGAGCGTGTTCATTTTGATGTGTGATTCTGAAATCCACCCAATTTTTTTATTATGTATATATTTGTTGCAGTTCCCTGAATGGCCCATTTTTGCATCTTCTGTTCCGTCTGATTTGTTTCCTGAATCTTTCTTTGTTTACGAAATTGCAAGAGTCACAGCAGGATTTATACTAAAAAAGCGTGCTGGGCAGGGCCGGACTGGGAAAAAAATTTGGCCTGGGCATTTTTCAATCAGAGCGGCCCCCTAAGAAGGGGGCGGGGCCAGAGAGTGTGTGTTTTGTCATCACTAATGACAAGCACGCCCCCTCTCAAAGTGAGCATGTTGGTTCAATGCCCAGAGCCCTGCTGAAGAGCTCTGGCATTAGAAAAAGGCCCTGAATTTGTTCTGCGCAGCGCAAGCAAATTTAATAACATGCTTGCGCTGTGTTTGCTTTTAAATTGTCTCTGGTGTCTCCACAAGTGGGATACCAGAGGACAAAAGGGCCAGGAAAGTGCATGGTGCATATGTTTGGAGCCTGCTTGTGGGATTGCGTGTGTGTAGAGTGTGGTGTGTATTGTGTAAATAGGTCAATTTCATTTGTGTTTGTGGTGTAATATGTGTGGCTAGGGGCTGTAGAGAGTGTGTGTATAGGGGGCATAGTTTTATAGGGGATGCAGCGAGTGTGTGCATACAGGCTGAAGTGTGTGTGTATAGGTGACGTAGTGTGTGTAGGGGTTGTAGAGAGGGTGTGTTTAGAGAATGTTGTATGTGTTTGCTGACAAGGAATGTAGTGTGTGTGTGTTTGAGATCTACTGTGTAAAGGACCCAGTGTGTGTGTGTGTGTGTGTGTAGAGGATTAGGAGAGGAAGAGTGCATATAGGGTAAGGGATCTAGTGTGTATCTGGAGTATAATGTGTGTAGTGGTGCAGTGTGAGGAGTGCTGTAGTGTGTGTGTATATATATATACACACATTTGGACTTATTGTATGTGTGAGGGGCGCAGTGTGTGTATGTAAGAGGGGTGCTGTGTGTGAGGATGTTTTTATTTGCTGTCAAATTCTAGGTTTCTAATTTTCTTTGTCTGTTAACTCACTGAGGGTTATTTTATATATGTGTGTGTGTGTGCTGTATATGTGTGGGAGTGTGTTGTGTGTGTGAGTGAGGGTGATGTGTGTTTGGGGGTGCTGTGTCTGGGTGCTGTGTGTGTGAGTGAACATATTTTTTATTTAAATTTAAATATATATTATTTAGTAATAAAAAAAAAGTATATCCCCCCCCTCCCTTCTTACCTTTATCCTGGGGGGAGGGGAAGGAGATCCATTCTGCCTGGGGGGTGGATGCCATGCTGCCTTCCCTGGTGGTCCAGTGGTGAGAGTGAACTCTAACCTGCAGGTTAGAGTTCACTCTCGCGAGATCTGAGCTTTGCCGTGGTAACCGCGGCAACGCTCAGAATCCCGCGAGAGGACCCGGCGGAGCTGTTGGTTAGAGCTCCACCGGTCCTCTCCTCCCTCCTCCCTCCTCCCTCCTTCCCTCTCTCCCCAGCTGGCGGCCACCTGTAACAGTGCCTCTGGGCTGGTGAGGGAGCTCTTTGTTCCTGTGATCTCCCCTGCCGGCCTTGGCCCACGGCCATCGCGGCCCACCGGGCATTTGCTCGGTATGCCCGATGGCCAGTCCGGGCCTGGTGCTGGGCTATGCCCAGAGTCAGGGCAGGATTTATATTTACCCACTAGCTGGAGCTATGCTCAGAGTCAGTGCAGGATTTATATTGACAAGCTAGCTGGAGCTATGCTCAGAGTTGGGGCAGGATTTATATTGACAAGCTAGCTGGAGCTTAGGCCAGAGTCAGGGCAGGATTTATATTGACACACTAGATGGAACTAAATCCAGAGTCAGTGCAGGATTTATATTGACACACTAGCTGGAGCTATGTCTTGAGTAAGGGCAGGATTTATATTGACAAGCCAGCTGGAGCTACGGCCAGAGTCTGGGCAGGATTTATATTGACTCACTAGCTGGAGCTATGCTCAGAGTCAGGGCAGGATTTATATTGACACACTAGCTGGAGCTATGTCTTGAGTCAGGGCAGGATTTATATTGACAAGCCAGCTGGAGCTATGGCCAGAGTCTGGGCAGGATTTATATTGACTCACTAGCTAGAGCTATAGCCAGAGTCAAGGCAGGATTTATATTGACAAGCTAGATGGAGCTAATTTCAGAGTCAGGGCATGATTTATATTGACAAGCTAGCTGGAGCTATGTCCTAAGTCACGGCAGCATTTACATTGACAAGCCAGTTGGAGCTATGCCCAGAGTCAGGGCAGGATTTATATTGATAAGCTAGATGGAGCTATGTCCTAAGTCAGGGCAGGATTTACATTGAAATGATAGGTGGAGCTTATTCCAGAGTCAGGGCAGGATTTATATTGACAAACTAGCTGGAGCTATGGCCAGAGTCAGGGTAGGATTTATATTGACAAGCTAGATGGAGCTAATTTCAGAGTCAGGGCAGGATTTATATTGACAAGCTAGCTGGAGCTATGTCCTAAGTCACGGCAGGATTTATATTGACAAGCTAGCTGGAGCTATGCCCAGAGTCTGGGCAGGATTTATATTGACAAGCTAGCTGGAGCTAATTTCAGAGTCAGGGCAGGATTTACATTGACAAGCTAGATGGAGCTATGTCCAGAGTCAGGGCAGGATTTATATTGACAAGCTAGTTGGAGCTATGGCCAGAGTCAGGGCAGGATTTATATTGACAAGCTAGATGGAGCTATGGCCAGAGTCAGGGCAGGATTTATATTGACTCACTAGCTGGAGCTATGTCCTAAGTCAGTGCAGGATTTATATTGACAAGCCAGTTGGAGCTATGGCCAGAGTCAGGGCAGGATTTATATTGAAACGACAGATGGAGCTAATTCCAGAATCAGGGCAGGATTTATATTGACAAGCCAGCTGGAGCTATGCTCAGAGTCAGGGCAGGATTTATATTGTAACGATAGATGGAGCTAATTCCAAAATCAGGGCAGGATTTATATTGAAACGATAGATGGAGCTAATTCCAGAGTCAGGGCAGGATGAGAGAGATAACTGGAGGTAAAACCGAAGTCTGAGTGGGATATATAAGAGTAAACCAGCTGGAACTATGACAAAGGTAAGGACTCAATTTATATGGATGATCTAGCTGGAGATATAGACAAAGCTAGGGTAAGATTCGTATCAGAAAGTGACTTCCAGGATATTTAATTTAAATTCATATTAATGGAAAAGCTGAACATATTTCAGAGGAAGAAATATGCTTTTCATAAGGTAACAAAGTTAGATATTTCAGAGAGAATATTTTTGTTTTTAATCATGTTATACTATTTTCTATAAGCAAGAAACACCACATTCCATGGAAACCAATTGAGGATATCTGGAAGGCAAACACACTTGTCCTTTGATGTTTCTTTACTTTGGAAGAAGCAAAAAATGCAAATGAGAATTTAACTCCGCAGACGTACAGTGAAGAAGATCCAATTATTCTAATAAATATCATGTTCTAATTCAGCCAAGTGAATATTATTTGCACAGCTCTCATAGCTTTGGCATTTATATTTACTTTAATCTTTTTTTCTGGTTTTTATTTTTGGATTCTAAAGTCATGCAGATAAGAGGGCACTTGGATTGTGAACTGTAACTAACAGGACAATTCCCATAAGAAAAATAAAAAAATAAAAATAAAATTGACATCACTGACTCTGACACTGGACGTGGCTGAGAGTGATGGGATTTTTTGTCCTTAAGCCTTTTGTGCACATATTTTCATAATCACTTTCTTATCACCTTCTCTTCATTCTTTTCCAGATGGCTGAGGTTGCTTCGTTAGGGGATCCAATTATAGATTGACTAGTGGAAACACAGCTTTACGTAGTGTATTGGGTTACAATATTACCACCAGCTGCAGAACTGGAAGATGGAGAATCTAAGGTCCAGGCATATATCGAAATAATATTGTACAGCGCTATGGAATGTGGTGGAATTTTATGACTATTTGTAATACATGTTCACATGGTTTACACCTTGCTACAAGACATGTATGTTTCAGATACGTTGAATTCAATAAAGAATATACCTTAATGATCATTTTAGAGAAACTCTGCGACGCATAAACATGTTACAAAAACACAACTACATAGAAAGGCAACAGCAAGGTATCTTCTTAAGAACTGAATAACACTGACATATAATTCAAGCAATTGGAAGACCCAGCAACCTACCTTCTAACCACCAGTGGAGCCTGTGAAGCATTGGAAAGATTTGTCAAAGATTCTCTGATACTAGAGATTGGATTCCATCAAATTTTTAGCAAATATTTGGCACAATTTCATAAAAGAACTCTTTACCTGCTTTTAAAATAATAATAATAATAGGGTATATCTAAAACAGCTTGCAAAAGCTGCAGATCTCTTGTCTGTGGCTTTTGCAAGCTCCTCCTCTTCTAACCCCACCCAGACATTCTGTGGCTGTCCAATCACAGACTTCCCAAAGCAACTCAATGAGAAGTCTTTGCAAGGCTGGTGTCTGGGCAATTGCTGCCTCTTGAGTTTAGCTCCACTGAGCTGAACAGTGGTGATTCAGTGGTGCAAGAATTTGTGGGGGACTCATTAAAGAGTGGCCAAAAGGTAGATGTTGTACAGATCTCGCAACGCATTGCCAGCTGGGACTCTACCATTTGTTCATCCTTTCAGGGTTGTATTTAGCACTGAGCAGTGTTTGTGTGTTTGACCTTCAGGTTATTTAATTAAAATTCATTTAACCCCAATGAACTTCTTTTTTTTTGGGTTGTAGTCAATAATAAGGTTTTTGAGAGGAAGCCTCAGACAGTGGGCGCATTTATTGACACTGCTTAAGTGTTTGGAGTGTCCCTTTAAAGGAACAGCGTAGACACCATAACAACATCATCTAAATGAAAGAGCCAGGGCATCTACTGGCACCATAACAGCTTCATTTAGATTGAGTTGTTATGGTGACTGTAGTGCTCTTTTAATGAATAGCCTCAAAAGACTAATAAGTGGGTTGAGGTTTTGTCTATAACAAATTATTGCTAAATTCACAATAAGTCCCTTGGGAAAAGCAGAGTCATGAAGTAGCCTCATTGGCTCACTAATACCAAAATCTTATGAAGGTATGAAAACGTAAACACTCCTCATTCACTGCTGGCTAAATTTGAAATGGATTTAGAGTTAGAATCACCTCGGCCAGTTTTATTCTGTTTTATGGATTTAAAAGCCCTAAAGGCTCTTTTAGCCGTGTATTCCATAAAGGACATAATTATACTCATCAGCATTTGTGAGGAATAGGTGACGTTACGGAAAATGAGATGTAAATGATATGTTGAATATTTGTAACATCCTATGCAATGAGTTCTGACGAGGTTAATACTTTGTGCAGCTGTAGATTGAAGGATCTCGTACAAGGTCAAACAACGACCTTTAATTTGCATAAAATTATTTTAGTGATAATGCAATCTCGCATTAAAATAATGGCTTCCAGCTCCGTGTATGTAATGTCATTACTGAGAAGAGACACAATGGCATTCTAGTGAGAAATACTCTGTCGGAATTTGGGGTATTAATATTTTGTGTCGGAGTTGGGGGAGGGGCCGTACATTTCACAAAGCTTTCTGTTTTTCGAAGAGACTATAGGCTATTCTGGCTCAAGCAATCTACCTAAATCTAGACAAAATTATTTGAATAAGTCAGCACTTATTTTTTTACTTACATAGTAAACAGAGATATTCAAGAAAGCTGTCAACTTCTCTTGATATTGCACCATTCAATAAAACATTGAAAACCACCTATAACTTGCGTTAACCTTTTTTCCTGTGATTTTTGTTTTTTAAATGTATATTAAAGATGTAGCACCTGACATCACAATCCAGTTCCATTGTGGCATAGTCAGAGAATATTTACATTGAAAAAGGATTAGAAGCACTGATTCTGGCTCTCCTTCTCTCTATATACTCTCTCTATCCTGGCTGGCAGGTAGAAAGGGCAGAGATTGCAACCATGATTGACAGGAAGCCAAAATGGAGGCACTTGGTTCCAGAAGAGAAATAAATACAGCGTTGTGGATTTATACATTTAACTTTTTTTTTCAGATCTCACAGAAACTAATAAATAAAAGTTATACATAGACATACTATTAAAAATATCATGAAGAGGCATTGCCCCTTTAAAATTTTAGTTTTGGACATTAATAGTTGCACACCATCAGTTATTTGAATAAAGCTAGCTCTATGTCTATCTCTGATGGTCTGTCTTCCCTTCCCATGAAAGGGTCAAACATCAGTAAACCTTGAACTATGCCGCGTTCTTAAATTAGAGACATGTTGAAGGGTTCTTCCCTGCACAGCTCACCCAGTCAATTTACATTCATATTCTGCAGCAGGGACATGATGTTTATTCCCAAATTCTAAGAAATATTAATATGTATCTGCTGATCCAGATTCTCGATGGAAAGGGGTTTTCTAAGCACTATAACAACTACAGCTCAACATAGTGGTAATGGTAAGAGCCTGTGCACGACATTGCTTTTGAATGGTTTGCAAGAAACCGGGACTCTTCCAAAGCTTACACGGTTTGGCTTATGTGAGCCCATACAACTCGGGATGACTATTATATTCTGAGAGCACTGGGTCCACCAGCCCCAGTGCTCTAATCAAAGCAGTCTTCTGGGAACCTTATATTTGGGTCAGTAATACTCGATGTATTTCTTGTTATTTGTAAACATTCCCAATAAGAGTTTCCATATTAATCTCTTATCCTGCCCACTAACGACAAGTGGGGTTATTACCCGAGCAGTGCTATAGGCGCGGTTATTAATGGTATTTCAGTGCTTAGGGGCCCTTTGTGGGGCTAATTACATGGGACAAGCTAGCACAAGCTAATTTCTATAAGTAGAAAATAGTTACTGCCTGCTATTGGCATTTCATCTTTTGGGGTAAAAGTAAACTAATAAGTGAATAACGAACACTGCTAAACACATCCTAATTGCCACCACTAGCCATCCCCCCATCCCCACATCCTTATTAATATCAAGGTTATTAAAAACTCTCTGCGGGGCTGAAGCAGTTAAGAAAATAGAAGGAAGTTTGATAAAACACCCACGTTTGGCCCACCCTATTGCTCTGTTTATTTGTGCAAATGTTACAAAGCCCCAAGATCAGGCATAGGCGACCTCCAGATGTTTTGGGCTACACCTCCCATGATGCTTTTTCAGCATTAGGGGTGTAAGAGCATTATCGGGGATGTAGTCCACAACATCTGGAGTGCCGAAGGATGCCCACTCCTGCCCTAGGTACTTTGTATGTGTTGCATGGTGCAGATGTAATTTCAACCACAAGAGGTCTCCCTTCTCCTGTCTCACCTGGGGAAAGGGGTCAATGATGAATCAGAGCTTCTGGGCCCCTAATAATCCTTATCAAGGACCGGGGGTAGATACCTGATATAGTTTTTCAGTGGAAGCCTTGAGACCATACAGATAAATTGCCATAATTAACATACAGGTAAAACCAGTCTGATTCAGAATGGACAGAATCGCTAATGGTTAATGACTTTGGTTCTTATCTTCTCTGATGAAAACGTATTACCTGTTAACATTATTATTACACCCTTGGCCCCACTGGATCATTGTATTATAAAGACAATAGCACTGGCTGACAAGAAATATTATTCACTAAACCAGGAATTGTGGGTAATTTAATTAGACACTTCACATTTTAGAAAGAAATAGCTGAAAAATTTGTCAGATCATTTTTTTCAGTATGATTATTATTACCTGAAATTTGCATTTCCTGTCTCACATATTGCATTGTTGACAACTCCCAGTACTTTGTACAAACACAAAGTATTGTTTAAATCATAGGTTAATATCTTAAACGTGATGACTTCTAGCTACTTTATTCCACAGTTTTGCCACAATAATTGCATTATAATAAATTAACTTTTTTTAAAACTTTATTACAATTATTTATTTTGTGCTGTGTAGATGCCTGTATTATATAATCTGTTATTTCCCGAGGTCACGGTTCCTGTGAGACCAACATCATTCCTTATTAATATCAAGGTTATTAAAACTCTCTGCGGGGCTGAAGCGGTTAAGAAAATAGAAGAAAGTTTGATAAAACACCCAGACATCCTGAAAGGATTTTGTATGTTCGTTCATTTAATAGAAATGTGATTGCAGTGTGAGCTGTGTAGGAAGACAGGGAGAGACAACTTTATTGTGCAAGTGTCAAGATGTGACAAAGATGCACACAGGCTCTGATTTGTGTTATCATTTGGCAGAACAGCCGTGACATTTACTTGACAAGAAGCACAAACTACACATCTTCTGTTCTGCCGCACAGTGTGATGTATGTGACATGCAGGGACGAGGTACTGGCCTTGGCTGGGTCACTGAGATATTTTTAAAGAGGAATGGTAACAGTCAGCATAATATTGCCTATCGAGGCACTGGCAGACAGAGGGCCACATAGAAGGATTGTGGGATATTTTTTTATTTACATTGTATGCCAGGATATGCCAGCACGACACTGCAATTGCAGGCAAAGTGATATGGAAAACAAATTAGCCTTTAATAAAATACAATAAAAATAATTAGACATTAATATGTCCAAAGTAATGGTTCCAACGCAGTGTGCAATAATAATTTTATAAAGGGCAATGACACTGAATATTTTTAGAAAAGCAGTAATGCTTAAAGAACAACTGTTATCAAATTATTATTTTTTTTTAAATGTATCTTAGTGTTTTTATTTTCTAAATGATGTATATTGATTTAGTTTTGAGAAAAATTCACTTCTTTTTTTTCTGGCTGAGCAGCCATGTTGGATCAAACACTACTGGTATCTGACCAACTACTGCTTAATCTAAGTCACCTGCTGCCGTAGTGTCACACAGAGCAATCAGAGCTCTCCCAACAGAGTTATTATGGCACTTGATGGTTCTAATCAGAGGCAGTAACAGTGTCTGATTCAGTGAAACCAAGTAAGGATGTAATCAAAGGCGCACACGTCCTCCAACACAGAACATTCTATGGTTCCGGCAAAGTTTGTGAGAGTTCCAGAAGAGGTTTTTTTCTCGTTAGAACTATTTTTAATGATGTGAATATCAAAGGAATCCAATACTTTCATTGCTGTTTATATCTTTTTATCCTCTCATACACTATGCCATTGCGCTCTTTTTTTCTTTCTATTTTTTATTTATTTATTTTTGCATTGATTCTCCTCTTGATGGAGATTTAACTAATAAAACAGCCATTAAAGGAATACTTTAACATTAAGAAAGCAAACATGTAGTCCTACATTTAGAGTGATATAGGACAGTGCTCCCATCCCTCTCCTCAAGGAACACCTAACCGTCCAGGATTTAGGGATTACCCAGGTGTTTCTAATGTGTTTAAAAAAAACAACCAAAAAACTAAAACACTTTTTTTTCTTTTTCTAAACACATTAGAAACACCCGGGTAATCCCTAAATCCTGGACTGTTAGGTGTGCCTTGAGGAGAGGGTTGGGAAGCGATGATAAAGGTGTGATTATATTATTGCCCCCTCCCAAAAAATGTAAATATGTTTTAAAATGTACCTTTATTCCCCTGGTGCACCAATCTCGCCTCTCCTCCGCAGACTGAGATCATCAATACTAATAATCCCAAGCAATTTCAATGCATTCCATAGAGAGTGTAATTTGCCTTCATGCAGAATGTGAAGATGTTGAGTGTCGCTCCTGCAAACTTAGCAGGACCTCTTCCAGGAAGTTCTTCAAGTGGCTGTCTGGGTGACAGCTACTAGAGGTGGTTATAGGCAGCAGTACACAAAGTAGGAAAAATAAAACAACAAAGTCATCAAAGTTTGGGCGTTCAACAACTTAAATAATATTAAAAATAAGCCATTACTGCATATTGTTAACATTGAAGATTGTGTTAAACTGCAGAACGCAGTGAGCTCCTCCAGGGTTATAATATAGCTTATTTTCTTGTAATCTTCTTAAAGTAACACTCTACGTACCATAAAACTATAGCTCACTCGGGGGGCGTGGCCAAGACTCCGACGAGACTGGCAGCAAAGTGGCTGAGCTCCAATCCTGACAGGAGAACATCAGCGATCCCCAGTATTAAACCGTTGCAATGGCGACCAAAAAGAAACGTAACACAACAGGGAATACCTCATCAACAGATAATCCGCCCACGAAGTCCTCTTTGCAGAGATTCTTCACGGAGCAATCAGAGCCGCACCAAGTGAACAAAATGGCGCCTGCGACTAATACACGAGGTAGCCAGCCTTCAAGCCCAGCAACATCAGAGGGCTCAATGGACGATACTGACATCAGGGCAATACTTACACAACTGCCCTCAAAGAAAGACCTCATAGAAATGTTCCAGAGGCTGGAGAACACCTTCAGCGAAAAATTACAGGCAGTCAATGCAGATGTCCAGCATCTGAGAACCAGAGTACAGGCCCTGGAGGACTCTGAAGAAGCTACTGAACGACTGTGGTTAGAATGCCACACCACACAAAACCAACACACAGATGCCATAATGTATCTCCAAAGAAAACTGGACGATTTAGATAACAGGGGGAGGCGGAATAATTTGAGAGTGAGGGGAATCGTGGAAAGCCCAGAGGGCACTACTGAGAACCCTATCAAGGTACTGACTACCCTCTTTAATTTGATCCTCACTAGACCTGCTGACACAGCGATCCAATTTGACAGGGCACTCAGAGCGCACGGCCCAGGAATTTACCACCGGATAAGCCCCGCGATCTTATATGCCGCATAATTTCCCTCTGAAAGAGGAAATATTCCACAAGGCCCGACAAAACAGAGACATAAAATTCGAGGGGCACCCAGTGGCCGTCTTCCAGGACCTCTCACCCTCCACTCTACAGGCCAGGCGGGCGCTGAAACCAATTACCTCAGCCCTACTCGAGAAGCAGATCAAATTCCGATGGAACTTTCCGTTTGCCCTCTCAGTATCGACTCAAAGTGGAATTAAAACTATATCCACACCGATGGACTCCCAGACTTCCAGCAGGCACTGGGCCTTCCCAGCATAGCAATAGAAGACTGGACTGGCCTATCAAATTGCATGTCCTCGCCATTGCAGCAAAGACCCAAATGGCAGAGAACACCAAGAAAACGCAGAAGGCAAAACCAGGCTGGGACTGAGACCTCCAGCCCACCCAGAGATAAAGAGGCCTGAGGACCACTACTGAAGTCCACTTATATCCTTTATTCCGACCTCTTGTTTGCTGAAATCGCATAATGTTTAAGTTGTTTAGACGAATTTTACTATATTTAGACACAATTAATCATGTTGTCATTGCCGCAAATGATTTATACTGACATATGTTATCCGGGCCACTGCGGCTCTACAACTCAGAAGTACGAATTACTGACTACACTAGGGGGCCCCGGGGGAGCCCGGAACCGGGTACATTTAATGGGACATAGAGATAGGCCCTTCATGGGGAAAATATGCTAACACCCTAAAAGTCCCGAATGTTCATTTAGTTAACCTGTTCAGGCCCTGTCACGACAGAAAGAGCTCTACCCCCCACAGAGAGGCGCTTAGGAATTACTTGGGGATACAACTAAGTCTCCCACAAGTGCAGCGCCAACTCCTTGTAAATATGATGTTATTACATTGTTTATATGTATATAGTTTTTGGTTACCCTCTCCCACCTTACCCCCCTCAGCTGTTGCCTATATAACCCTGCGGCTCCACTCTCATGTTAAGCGGTGCGATCGATTACTCTACTATGATGGCATAAAGTAAACTAATGTCCCTAAATGTAAGGGGCCTCAACACCCCAGAAAAGCGCAGCATACTAGCCCAGGAAATCGACAGACAGAGAGCTGACATCATATTCATTCAAGAAACGCACTACAGTGGCGAGGTACAACCAAGGATTAGGTCTAAACATATCCAACAAACTTATTATAGCAATTACGTGAAAAGCAAATCTAGAGGGGTAGCGATTTTGGTAAACTCACAGGCAGCCCTCACAGAAACCAACGTAAAAGCAGACTCAAGAGGGAGTTTTTTTATTTGTAAAAGGGAAATGTCAAGGGGTGCAGGTAACGCTGGCTAATATTTACGCGCCAAATTCAGATCAGGGCTCCTTTGCTCGGTCATGCTTGAACAAACTGGAGAGCTTCGCAGAGGGAGTTGTGATTGTGGGTGGAGATTGGAACATGGTACTAGACCACTCGATAGATAGCACCACTAAAACCACAGACAAAAGGGGCCACCAACGTACCTTACAAGCGAATGCATTATATGCACATCAGCTAATGGACTGCTGGCGTCTAACACACCCACAAGACAGGGATTACACATACTATTCACAAACAGCCCTAAGCTACTCTAGAATCGATATGTTCCACCTTATCATTACAAAACACCCCCACCCACAGCACACAATGGTGACTCAATGAGACCCTCCTGGATGACCCTAGAATAATCGAGGATCTACAGACGACCCTACGCAATTACTTTCTTGAAAATATAACAGCAGACATATCAGACTCATGGGTTTGGGAGGCACACAAAGGGGTAATTAGGGGATCCTGATAAAATGGGGATCTAGAATCAAGAAAGAACGAGCACACAAGCAGACTGCCCTGTCAACAGCCATACATGAGCAGGAAACACTACACAAACAGAACCCTACACAAGAAATCTTCCACAAATTAACAGATCTCAGAATCAAGCTTAGATCCCTTTTGTCCCTTAATGCATCAGTTAACAAGATGTTCTTTCTATGCACATGGCAATAAAAGCGGGAAACTGCTAGCATGGGCACTGAAGGATAAGCTCCAAAAATCCTTTATAGCTAGCATAAAAGATAGTCAGGGAAAACAATGCAACACCACTAATGACATAGCGGATGCATTTTGCAAATTCTACCATAATCTCTATAATCTTTCCCCACCTGAGGGAACCCCTCTCAATCTACAAGACTATTTGAGGGCCAATCTCCCCCACAAGGTCCCGGCCAAGTTGGCTCAGGTGCTGGACGAGCCCTTTTCTCCTAAGGAACTCTCCTTAGCTATTAAAACAATGCCAAAAGGCAAAAGCCCTGGCCCAGACGGCCTAACTACTAGGTACTACCAGAAACCGTCGGAGGATCTGGGACCACATTTCCTTAAAATGCTGAATGAGCTGGGACAGGGCTCCTCTCTTCCTCCCCCAATGCTGCGCGCATCAATCACCCTTATTCCCAAACCTGGGAAAGACCCTGAGGCATGCGGCAGCTATAGACCCATTTCCCTCATCAACCTCGACCTCAAATTAATAGCCAAATTAATCGCCAACCGCATCAAACCCTTACTGCCGGAACTGATCCATCCCTACCAGGCAGGCTTTGTACCTCGACGTGAGGCTAGGGACAACACTACAAGAATAATAAATATAATACATGGAGCAAACACTACTAACACCCTGACAATACTACTGGGCATTGATGCAGAAAAAGCCTTCAATAGGGTGGACTGGACATACCTATTCAGAGTCCTAGAAGGCCTGGGATTTGGCCCAAGACTGAGAATTTGGATACATACACTATACAGAGGGCCTACAGCCATGTCAGGGTAAATGAACAATTATCAGCTCCCTTCCAGATAAGTAATGGCACTCACCAGGGATGCCCACTTTCTCCCCTCCTACTTGTCCTGGCAATAGAGCCATTCCTGACTGCTGTCCGCAGCAATTCCAAAATCAGGGGCTATCGATATCCGGGGGTGGGGGGAGGTGAGGGTCTCTGGATTCGCGGATGACGTTCTCTTCACCATCACGGATCCACTCCATACACTCACTCAAGTACAGACAGAAATAGACACATTCGGTGCATTATCAAATTTCAAAATCAACACCGAAAAATGTGAGATCCTAGGGATCTCTATACCTCCGACATTACAGACCCACATCCGACAGTCCCACAATTTCGTCTGGACACAAGGAGGCCTAACATACCTAGGAATTTGCCTAACCCCGTCAATCAAAGGCTTATATACACAGACCTTAAAAAGTGGTCTCTACCCCATTTCTCATTAATGGGACATGTTAACATAATAAAAATGATGATTTTGCCAAAGTTGTTATTCATATTGCAGGCCCTACCTATTCCCCTCCCAGGAGAATTTTTCCGACGCATGCGATCCATGCTTATGAAATACAAGTGGGGTCATAGGCCTGCAAGGCTGGCCTATTCCACATTAACATCCACACCCGGGATGGGGGTCTAGAACTGCCCCACCTGTACAAATATTATGTAGCAGTCCTACTCACACGCATTAGGGAATGGACAGCTGTGGAAAAGACAAAAGCCTGGTACAAATTGGAACAGAGCTTTGCGACAATGCCTCTCCATACACTACCCTGGCAAACGTGCCAGCTTACAAAACTCTCCCCTACACACCACCCACTTATCCACAACACACTCCAGATGTGGAGGCAACACAGGGAGGGTTGGGGATTGTCCCCCGGACTCTCTCTGTTTTTCCCACTAGCAGACAACCCAGATTTCCAAAATGGCCATGGACACACCACACTAGCCCGGATCACTGGGACCACCTGCCCGGACGTGGCGGTAGTCCTGACAGAGGACAACCCACCTAAAATAAAAGCTTTCCCCAAACCCGACAGGCGAGAGACACTACTAGATATTATGGCCCAGCTGACCCATTTCCTGACCCACTCGGTTCTCCCATTATGGGAAAAAAGAGACAAGAAACCATTTGAACTTTTATGCACCCAGGTGAGCAAAACTAGATGACCCCTGTCAGCCATTTATCGCATCCTCCAGACAGAAACAGGAGACCCAACTAGACCCTCATTTCAACGTAAGTGGATGAGGGAATTTCACATACACATGACAAATCATGACTGGACACACATCATGAGCTCAGGGATAAAAGCCCCAATTAGCATAGCCCGCAAAGAGACTTTTTACAAAAGGGTCACCAGATGGTACAGAACACCAGCTCAACTCCATACCTACTGGCCAACAGTTAGCAATCAATGTTGGAGGTGCGAGGCAGCACAGGGGGACATGGAACATATATGTAGGAACATAGTCCCGTTCTGGACCCTTATACTTGCAGACATTAAGAAACTTATGTACCTAAGAATACAATTGTCTCCGTCCCAAGTACTATTAGAATGGCCCCGGACTCTCACAGACCCATATAAACAGCAACTTCAGATCATTCTCATAGGTGAAGCTAATGCCCTGATCCCAATGCACTGGCAACAAAACAATATACCCTCAAGGGAGCAGTGGGTCCAACAGGTGGAAAGAACTAGAGAATTAGAGGAGATTCATTTGTCAATCCAGGGCAAGAAGGACAAATTAACTACTGGAAGGCCCCCCTCGCAGGGACTACACCTAAGATCACCCATGGGTAGAGTATTTAGATGTGCTGTACACAGATATAGGATATGACTTATTACAATAGCAGGAGAAATCTAAACTATACTAAAGATGGGATGCAACAGGACACCTTACCACCCTACCTCCTACCCTCCTCCTTCCCTTCCCCCTCAGCCTTGTCCCCACTCACTACCATATTCTACAAATTCTACGGGGCACCCGAAAAGGTTACACGGACAATAATGTTCGATTTAACAACTATGTATAATATTACTGAACCCCACTATGTTATACCTATTTATATACCCTTGTCTCTTCTGTACCCTTGTTTTGATGACTTTTATTGAAAACGCAATAAAAAAAGATATTAAACAAAAAAAAAATAAACTATAGCTCACTCCGCCGATCCCTCTCAGCCAATGAGCTGTTATGGAACTTCATGTTCTTCAGTGATGGTAGCGTAGGATAAGAGCAATGTCCATCAGGCCCCAAGTAGTCAAACCATTTAAAAACAGTTTGACTCCATCAACAATGGGGGTTGTTAGGACACCAATGGCCCCATAACCACTCCAGTGTGCTGTATCAAAAATGAATCAAACCATGTTTAGAATTCTTTATGATGCATAAAATTATTATTATATCACTATTATTACTATCAGTGAATTTGACCTCAAAACAC